CTGTCTCACCCTTTGCTTAGATTTTTGTGAGTAAGTGGTTACAAAACCTTGTATGGAGCTGGGTTATTTTAAAGTACTCTGGGAATATTCCAGTAAGTACCCCACTAAGTGTCTTTGTGTAAAAGATCTTGGTCTAGGTCTCTGGCCTAACCTTCTTTGTGAATCTCACAGCAGTCTTATTTGTCACTACGTGGCCCTACCCAGTGTGACCTGGGCCGTAGGCACTGCGTAGCGTATGGTGGTGCTGTACGCTGCTGCAGCAGACATGCTGGTTGCCTGTCCAACAGCCGTTCATCCTGCTCTGGCTGCAGTATAGCAGAGCTCACCTGCTACAGTAGAGGTTGACAGTACTAGATGCATGCTTTCCCAGACTCCTCTGCAGCCAGAAATGGCCACATGACCCAGTTCTGCCAAAAGACATAAATGAAACTATTCCCAGAAAGCTTCTGGGAAAGATTTTCCTCCCTGATAAAAAGAGAGTGACATGAGAGAATTGCTCTCTTACAATTTTTGTTGCCTCCTTCTTCCTGATGTGATGTCTGTAGCCAAGGCAGCTATTTTGGGACCATGAGGCAACAAGCCCAAGGATGAAAGTGGAGTCTTCTGAGGATGCTGAGAGTGAGGAGGAAGATGGGAAGAGATTGCATCCTTGATGACATTGTTGAGCAGCTGTACCAAACCTGGGAAACAACTTCCTACGTTTAGGAATGAAACTATTATTGTACAGAGCTCTTTTAGGCAGGTATTCTACTTACTGCCAAAAGCATCCTATTACTATGGCTGCCTGGTATTTAATATGTTCTTGTCTTCTGTTTCTTAGAAGGAAGACGTCACTGGACCTTGTCGCCTGGCTACCTCCTCCTCAGCCTTATCACCACACTATTCCATTTGCTCATTTACTTGTTAATTCACCTCACAAAGTTTTGGTGAGGGCAGAATTCATGACTGTTGGGTTCACTACTGCAGTCCCAGTTCCCATTATGTAATGAGTAGTCATTCAATAAATATTTGCCAATGAATGAATGAATGGGGGCTATCGAGGAGGTAGAATGCTTAGAAGGTAGCTTTTGCCTCGAGGTGAGAGAATGAAGTCAAGGGTGTCATGCTGTTTCTGGCTTGTATGTGTGGCTAGAGGGTGCTACCCTTCTCCACTCATCAACATGGTGGGGAGAGCAGAAGAGTTGAAGAAGACAGGTGTTATCCTGTGTGTAGCATGAGAAGCGACTCTTCAGTGCTCCCATCTCATTGTGTGGCACCACCATCTATCTTGTCACCCAAGCCAGAAATCAGGAAGTCATCCTGGGTACCTGAGTCTCCCTCAGCTCCCACATCAATCCATCACCAAGTACTAAGGCTCCACTTACTGTCTCTCTCACCCATAAACTTCCCTCCACCCCCCTTGCCACCGCTGGAGTCCAAGCCGACCACCTCTCTCCCGCACTATTGCAATGGCCATCTAATTGGTTTCCCGAATCCACTCCAGTGCCCTCTCACTCACTGTATTCCAGCCACACCAGTCTTCCCTTGCTCCTTGAAAGCACCAATCTCCCTCTTGTCTCAAGACCTTTGCTTATGAGTTTCCCTCTGCCAGGAACTCTGCTCCATCCATCCTCCACCTGCCCATCTCCGGTCCAGCCTCAGCCTAAACATCACACCCTTGGGGTTATTTAACTATCTTTGACTATTCCCTATCCCATTCACCTTTGTAGCTTCAGAAATTTAACTTTGTTGGAAAGTTAAATGGGGTGATTGGGCTTTTGGTGACACATAGAGACAAAATTTTAAAAGACTTACGTATCAAAATTAAATTAATTTAAATGAAAATGTAAATATTGAGGATCAGAAACTTACGAGTATGGACAAGTACATTTTTTCCCCCAGAAGGCAAATCTACACAGAAAGTCAAGTAGCTTGTGAGTACATGAGCAGACAAGGGCAATAGCTGCATGATTTAAATGATGAAATTTGCTAAACCATGTTACGCCAGCACACCCATTCCCACCACAGAGATCTCCCCTGACACCTGTTCCTGGGACACCACCCCAGTGCTGAAGACTCCCTGCTAATGCTTGCTTCCAATTCCTAAGCTTCAGTAGTTAATATGTTACCTCATCAGACTTAAGTTGTTTTAGATATGTTAATTTCTACTTGGTTAATACTTAATTCGGTTAAGGTCAGACCTGGGAGCAATTTTTTCTTTTAGATGACTTTGCTTATATCTGGCTCTGATCTATTGTATGTATTTTATAGTTAAATTTTAAGAACTGTGAAAACAGACTCTTGTAGCGCTGGCCCAGGTTTCGGGTTTGATCTCCTGTCTGGGTGCGTACCGGAGGCAACCAATCAATGTTTCTCTGTCACGTTGATGTTTCTCTCTCTCCCCCTTTCCTCTCTCCTAAGAAAAGAAAGGAGATTCTTATAGGACTTATTATATTCGCTTCTTTAAAAGTCTATTATTTACTCTATTTGTTTAGATTCCTTCAGGATCTGCATTGCTGATTGTTTTAGCAAACATTGGTCTGTGGGCATGTCAATGCAAGTTCAAGTAGATTTAACTCTAAAGATGAAAGCCTTTTGGAAGGTAGTTGTTAGATAAGGGACGAGGCCAAAAACATTCATATACATAAAACTTTGTTTTGTACTCAACAACTACAAAAATATTCTTGCAAAGTTGTCTGTAGGAGACCCCTTGGAAAATCCTCATCTTCTGTGGAACTTAACGGTCTAGCTGAAGTGATTCTATGCTAATCAGGTGTCCTGGGAAACAAGCAAATTTGCACCTGGAACTCCTACAGGTGAGGTATTCAATGGCTGGAGTCCTTAGCAGAAGAGTCTCAAACCTTTTCTCTATTTTCTACCTCAGATCAAAGGGGACACTTAATGACCAGATCACTCTGGTAAATTTATTATCTTGAAACAATAAGCAGGGAGGTTTTGTTTTGACCCAGGATACCGCAATGGGCCAACACATTGTGGCCTCCTTTTGTTTCCTGTTTGGGCTGCTTTTGAAACGTGGAGTAAATTTCCATTCTTACCATGCTTTCTTTCAAGTATGCTAACCATGGATGAAAGGAGGTGGAAGAGAAGTGCTCAGGTGGCAGAGACAAGCACTGGCCCCACGGCTTGTCCTAGAGAGCTGGCCCCTGAGGAGTGCCATGGCCCAGCGTCAGCCCTGATGGGGCGCCCAGGGCCTGTCTGGGAATGCATGGAAGCTGGCTCTCAGGATACGCATCCCTAGTGTTAGGAGCATGCCCTGAACATCTATAACTCTCCTCAGTCATCCATTCTCATCCTTGAGTGAGGAGAACAATGATAGTTGAGGGGATACTCCAAGGGATGGGACCATAAATCTGAAATTTAGTCCGGCTGGTGTGGCTCAGAGGTTGAGCATTGACCTATGGTCCAGGAGATCATGGTTCAATTCCCGGTCAGGGCACATGCCTGGGTTGTGGGCTTGATCCCCAGTAGGGGGCTTGCAGGAGGCAGCTGATCAATGACTCTCTCATCATTGATGTTTCTCTCTCTCTCCCTTCCTTTCTCTCTGAAATCAATAAAGTCATAAAAAAAATATCTGGAATTGAACAGGCTTTGCTCAAATACACCTCTGGAGCTACTACCAAGTATAAGAAAGGAGTAGGATTCCAGCACCTAGAGATAAAAGCAATATATATTTACACGTCATTGTTAATGTACACGACAGCTATAAAAGGCATGCAACTTTTAAACAAAATTTACACCAAACGGAGCTGTGAGTATAATTTATTCGTATTCTTACATTGAAATTTGTTATGCAGACAATAGGAGAAAATACAAGTGCTCCTTAAGAAAACTCATAAAATACTCAATATCAGGCAAATACTTAGTAACAAAATTAGCTTGAGAAAATCAATACCTTTTAAATTAGACAATGTGTGAGGCTTTAAAATGTTCCTATTTACAAGTCCGTGTGAGCACACAGGAAAAGGTATGTAATTAGCACACTGGGTAGAGCCCAATCTGAAGATGGCCTTGGAGACACCTTGGAGGCCTTTGGTTCATGCAGACACTGCCCAGGTTCTTCACCCTGGTTATCCTTGGTGATGTGCCCTCCTCCCCCAAGTCTTAGTTCGCAAATTCCCTAATCAGAGAGATTTCAGCTCAAACACTGAAAATTTAGTTTTTCCACAGGAATATGTGTGACTCTTATGACAGTCGCAAAGTCATGGTTTCTAAAGGCTTTGGCTACAGGGTTTTTAAATTAGAGCAATGTTTTCCTGAGAAAAGGAAGAAATGAACTTCTCCCTATAATATTTGTAGGTTTACTTTCCTTTTTATGTTTATTGATTCAGCAAACTGTATATTTTGCACCCAGCCCTGCAAACCCAGAGGAAAAAAACCTTTAAGATTCCACAGTTTCACTTTTTGCATCCTACAAAATACTGAACTGATACATGCTGAAGGGGGAGGGGATAACCAGAACTTTCCACCGCCATCTCTAGCACATTTGGTTATACAATCATTATAGAACTGATAACTTTTAAATGGAAAACAACAACAACAACAAAAAACACAGGCGAATCCTTTATCTGGATGTCTTTTTGGTGGATCAAATATCATTGGTTCCTGAGTGAGAATATTGTGAGTGCTCAGAAAATAATGAATTTTTTTAAAAATTGAAATTCAACAGCTTCTAAAACCCAGAAGCAATCTGATCTTAACTTTTAGTCTTTGTAACATGTAAGATCTCCTCAAAGGAATTAAAAATGTAATTTTAAAGGGCCCTTGGGTGTTGATGACTTAATTCTATGCATTCGTGGCATTTACAAGATCAATGTGGGGATTAAAGTAAAAATAGCTCCCTGCCAGAGTGGCTCAGCGGTGGAGCATCAACCTGGGATCCAGGAGATCGAGGTTTGATTCCCAGTCAGGGCACATGCCCAGGTTGTGGGCTCAGTCCCCACTGGGGCGGTATGCAGGAGGCAGCTGATTAATGACCCTCTCATCATTGATGTTTCTCTCTCTTTCTCTTCCTTCCTTTCTGTAAAAGACAATTAAAAAAAAAAACCCTAAAAAAGAAATGTAACTTTTCTATACTATTTAGGAACTGATTAAGCCAAGAACTTCCCTTATTTTATCTCACTGAAGACGAATCCATTCTCACAAGAAAAAGAGAATAAACTCCACCTAAAAAAATCCTTTGCAATCTCCAAGAAAAGTAACAATACAGAATAATTTTGACTGACAAAAACCCTTTCTCCCTAATGCAGCTCTGTCACCCTGAAAAAACCAACCATCTCCAGTAAGTGAAATCTGCATGACAACCCAGAGGCTGCTGGCAGAGGAGTCGGGGAGCCAGCTCAGCAATCGGCCGCCCCCCTGCCGTGTTGACCCAGGCTGCAATGTGTAACTTGCATTGACTTTTCACAATCCAAACAGCTCATCTGAGATTTCTGGGTTGACTTTGATTTTATGACCATGAATTCCATTTCCTTAAGGCTTAGTTGCTTTATAGAGTTTAATTTTTAATACTGTTAACACCATCTAGCCAACCAAACATCAAAAATATCAATAAATATCAATAATTAGCTCCAGTCTCAGTTCCTCCTTCTGCTGGAGCATTTTGGCTTTATAAATATATTACAGTCTTCTTGCCAACACCCCATGAAGGTTTAAAATTCCATAGCCAGAGCACATGGTCTGGGTGTGTCTCTCATGTTTGGGGATGTTCCTGAAGTCTAAAAGAAAATTACAAAGTGAGCATAAGGACAGATGGCGATGGGTTAGTAGGAAAGTGGTTACCAGCGAAAAAACAATGATGCGCTGAAGTTCTGGAAGACAACTGGGGCAGTCAATCAGAAATGGCTGTGACCATGGCTGCGGATGAAGGTCGCTCTCACAGAGGGCTTTCGACCATCCTTTTCTTGGCTTGCAGGTAGAAGATGCGGTTTTCTTCAGGGTAAGTGACTTTACTGAGGGGCATCTTGTAGATGTGGGGGTTTTTCGTGGTCAGCAAGAGGAACAGTAGTGTGGCCAAACAGAAGGGCCAGGTGGCAGACGGCAGTCCGAACTGAGGAGGAAGAGACAAGCACACCCTCCTTTGAGATCCCGAGGGAAAGCTAATCTACACACAGCACCACCTCTCACTCCACCCTCACTCCGCCCGGGGCTGGGCCAGGGAGCGGGGCGGGGTGGGTTGCTCTGGACTCTGCGTCTGCCATGGAGACTGAGCCTGAGCTTAGGGCATTTAGCAGTTAAACTGTCATCATCGGTTCTTTCAGGGGGTCGGTTATGTTCCCATCTTGTATATCTTTCCCTTCCTCTCATACACTTAGACTTCTGACACCAGATGTGCAAAGATGATACCTGGCACACAGAGATGACACTCAGCAAAGCCCAGTGGCTCCTGACCACTCACTCCATTCACAAGGCCCACAATGACCTTTCTCTCCTTGACTTTCACCCAGACTAGGTCTTGGACTCCACTTGCTTTCTTCTTTTCATTCTGTCTCCCAACTAGACTCTGAGCTCCTTGAGGGTAAGTCTTTTGTGCTATCCATGGCAACTCATGGGATTTTGAGCATACACCGTGGGCTTGATAGTCTGTCCCTATGCAAGGACCCCGTGGGTGGGACGGTACCCAAACCTGACTGCACATCAGAATCCTCTGGGAAGGGGGTTAAAAAACACAGATGCCCAAGTACCAGGTCAGATCCACTCTATCAGAAACTCCAAGGAACTGGGCCTAAGGATCTGTATTTTTGCAAATCTCCCTAGCTGACTCTGTTGTGCAGCCTGTCCAATTCTGGTCCATGGACTGATACCTGCGGCCCTTTGTTGGGATGTGAAGGGCCCCACAATGCTCAAATGTACTGCCCATCATGCCTGTAGTGGCACTTTGACTTTCCACCAGAGAGATACTGTGTCTCCAGAGGACCCTCCCAGATAAACTCTCTATGCTGCTGAGAGGACTGATCCTGTCTTGACCCATTAGCAGCCATGACCACACCCACATGGACTGAGCTATCAGAAGCTGGCTCTGCATCGCCTGCAATGGTGTGTGAAGAAGAGAGAAAGTCCAGGGCACTGGGAAGTGGGGGATCCTGCAACAGTCATACTGGGTTCCTCAGGGGAGGGGGAAAGAAGGTCAGAGGGCTGGACAGGGCTGAAAAGAAAGAAGAAAGAGCGGTAGGGGATCCTTAATGGGCAATGATTTTGCCTATTAATTAATTCAGCCAGGACATGGGTCTAAATAAGTCCTATTGGTGACTGACTAGGGATTTAAAAAAAAGACAAGGGGTATGAAAAAACTATTGGCTTGATTTTTTAAAAATTTGAGTTTTTAGCTAATTATCCTTCTTCTCCCTTTCCTGCTTTCTCAACTACTACACAGTCCTGGCTTTCTGTTTAAGTAAAAGATATTCTAAAGTCAACTTCCTGACACTCAGAGTTATCAAGTATAAACTTGATAATATGTTATACAACCTAAATTTTACTTCCTTAAATCAAACAATCTGATATTCTTAACAAGCCAGGTGATTTTAATTTGGACTAAAATTTACTGTGGTGCTGGAAGGTGAAGACAGACAGGTGCAAGAAAAGGGAAAGTGGCGGCTGTCACAGTCATGGATGCTGCCACGGGACACCACCCACATGGACTTCAGGAGGGTTTCCATATCACTGATAACTGATCAGTCGTGCTGATGATAAAGCGAGACTAAAGCAAACTCACCACAGCCATCAGGTGTGACATGCTGATTCCCAGGTAGGCAGTGAACAGGGCTACAGAAAAAGAAGACAGAACAATGCTTGGTAGGTTTCATTTCATTGGGAAAGGCTGCCTTCTGGTATAAATCCCCTGGAATGTAAACATCTACCTTTTACCAGCTAGACCAGTACCCTGGTTTCAAGTATGAGTTTAGGGTCAGCAGGGCTGGGTTCAAATCCAGACTCCACCACTTTGGAGTTTGGTGGCCTCTCTAAGCCTCCATTTCTTCACTTGTACGAAGGAGGTTATGTTTCTCTCACAGGGCTGGTGCGAGCACAAAAGAATGTAATGCTAGGGCTTAGCACACAGAAAAGGTAGCTTTTCTGTGGTTACTGTCTTGTTGCTGCTTTGCTGATACTTAAGGAAAAGTCCTTCCATAGCAGATAAACTTCCCTGTTATTTTACCCAGGTGTAGTTGAATGAAAATGAAACTTATGAATGCCTCTTGAGATAGTATGGTTTCTATACTGCATCTGACTGATCTAGGATTCTCTAATGGTTAGAATTCACAGTCACTAAAAAATCATCGTATTAAAAAAGAAGGTACTAATTCAGAGATGAGCAGAAACTGAACACAAACTTGGGATTCCTCCCCAGAGTAACTTTTTCCCATATAGCATTAAGTTTGGCATCCAGGTCAATGAGTAGACATGCTATTTCTAAATTTACTTTGAGCACAAATCATAGAGTAGCCAGTTTGAGTGTATGTGTGATTTCCAACGTAAAGCAACAAAAACAAAGATCTCAACTAGCCAATCATTAATTCCTCAGTTTTGGTAGAAGAGGGGGCTCGAGAAGGCTCAAGGAAGCAGCCTGAAGAATGACCTGCACACACCCTTGGGCCACCAGCTCACACTGTTAGATACATTCATCACCCAGTTTTCCTGTCTGGTGAGAAACCACATCAGCTACTTGGGGGCAGGAGAGGAAATGGTGGGAGGAACTCTGTGATCTTCATTTCCATCCTTTTATCAACATTCTGTCTTTTCATTCTGGTATTTTTGTTCAACAATACACCTAATTCTTTCACATATGAATTGTCTCATGCTAGTGGGAAAGGCTTGTCTTTGGAAACAGTCTGGAGTCAAACACCAGCTCTGCCATCTTGTTTGTTGTACAACAAATCACCAAACTCAGAATCTAGTTTCATCGTCTGTAACAAGGTCACTTGGAAACGTGCTTTACAAGGGGGTAGTGAATCTCAAATGAAATCATGTATTTCCATAACAGCAGCTATCAACTCACCCCTGTCACCATGCGATCGAGATACTGCCCTGAGCAGAAGGGTGCAACAGCTTGGGTTGAAAGGGTTTCTGTGCTTGGTTTCCATAATTTTATTCTTTTTTTTTCCTTCCATTTCATTCACTCATTCAAAAAATATTCACTGTCCCTCGGTTAAGCATCAAGGACACTCTATCCTTGCTCTCTTGAGTACCAGCTCTTCTATGACACCTTTTCTGAGCACATGAGACCTTATTGCCATTTCTCTCCTTTTAATACCTATTGCATTTCTAAGGCACAATCTTGGTGTTCAAGCCTCATACTGCTCTACTGTTGCAAAGTGATCTACAATTCCAAGTTGTTTTTCTGTCCATAGTGAAGGTCAGGCTATCTAATAGCAACTGCCCATCAATTAAAACTTGCTGAGTTGGACTGGGAGAGCCTTCATTAGAGCTGAAATTCTGCACACCATAGTATCTGGCTGATGACCCAGAGAGTGTTCTGGATAGTTGAGGGAGAGAAAAGGCCCTTGAGTGCTGAAGAGAAGATTGGATTTCCACTCTTCAAAGACAATGTCCCTCCCAAAAGACCACCATGTGTGAGTCATACTATGATACCCTGGCCAAGCAAAAAGAGATATGAAATGTGTTTACAGTTTGCATTGATAAAATAACAAAATTGAGGAATTCCCTGGCCATACGGTTTCTGGCTAAGAGGCAGGAAGGCAGCATTGCCAGGCTCTATCAGAGTTAGCCAAGTCTTCTTTCCTGATAAAGCCATATAAAAGGGCACCTCTGTAACAAATGCCTACTATTTATTTACCTTGGCTGACAAGGTTGGCTTTTGTTTGACAGCATCCGGGTGATGTGGGGAAGTTGAAACTTGCGTTGGCATTTTATATGTGATATTTACTTTACAAGAAGGTGCTGGAGGTCTGTCTCAAAACTTGATGTCTAAAATGAAAACAACTGATGGGACCCAGTGTGGTGAAATGGACACTCTTGCTCACTGTTGGTGGCAGAGGAAATTGATATGGCTTTTGTAGGGTAATTTGGCATCTAGTAAAATTAAAATGGGCAGAGCTGGAATTTTGGCACCAGGGTCTGGGCTCTTAACTGATTCAATGTACTGCCTGAACTGTTACGCTAAACTAGTAAAGGAAATCTCACCTCTCAAAGGAAGGGAGGCATGGTGGGCGGAATCAAGGTCCCCAAAGATGTCTAGGTCTTAATCCCCAGAACCTGTGAATATGTTACTTTACATGGTAAAAAGGACTTTGCAGCGGTGACTAAGTTAGAAATCTTGAGGCATGGAGATTATGCTGGGTCATGCAAGCGGACTCAGTGCAACCACAGGGTCCTTATAAGAGGAAGGCAAAAAAGCTCTATCCAGGGAGCAGGATGAAGATGATCACTGTTCAATAAGCCAGTGCTACTTGTATAGTAAAGAAAAAAAATGAAGATATTCCTGCTTTGGGGAAATATACCCACAAACATCTTTGGTTTCACCCCTTTCCATGGTCTGTCATCAACAACTCTTGTGACCAAAGCAGTTTCTGCTTGATCTTTAAGGATGTGCTCAGGCTGCCCCAGGCTGGCCCGACCACCCCCTCCGCCAACAAGGATTTCTCCTCCATGTTAAGGACTTATGGAAAAGCCAGCTTCTCTCAGAGGTGCTCCTTGATTCTGAACTGTAATGTTCCCCCCAAAATCTTGCACTGTAGATGTCTGCTTGTTCTGCTGTAATCATCGCTACGAGCTCCTGTGGGCTCTCTCTTACTCACCTGGCTTCCTCCCTTAACTGTGACTCTGTGTGCAGGAGCCACCTGGGATCTAAAGCTCCTAAATCTCCAGCTCTTACTACTACTGTCTGGGCCGTATCATGAGTGTTGAATATGATTTACTGCTATTGCCAACACAGAAAAAGATAAAGGTATGCACTCCAAACAAAGGTTGAAACCTCAAACTAATCTCAGAATAAAGGTGCTAACCCAGCTGAGCGCAGGTGGCCATGTAATCTGTTACAGCTTTCTCTTTTGCCCTAAACTGATGAACAAACATGGAAAAATGAACAAAAAGTTTTGACAGGGTTATTAGGGGAAATTGGCAAAATGACATATAAGTGGCCACCTTGAGTTTTGTTATATTTGCTACCGGGCCAGGAGATCAGAATTGAACAAGGCCTTAGAAATCCTTGGTCGCATCCCACCCCCACTGCAGAAATCCGTCCATTCTCAACCTTGCCTGACACATGGTCCATCATTTTAAGAATGACTTAGATGCCTTGGGTTGCTTAATCTGGTGATAATCTGACTCTAGACAAATATTCCCATTAGATTTGAAGTAATTTCTGCATTTCCACTATCTCTGCACCCTTTATCCCCAAGGGAGTGTCATTCCCTTCAGTCTAGCACAGAGATTTTCAATCGGCGTGCCGTGGCACACTGGTGTACCGCAAGAGTTTTGAAAACATGCAGTACCTGACTATTTAGTCAGGGGCTCTGACCTCTTTTCCCTTAGATTGTCAAATAAAAAAATTACAACAGCCAACACAACAATAGCTGTCCGGTGTGAGTGAATCAAAATTAAACCTTTTTTTTTTTTTATACATAGGCCAAAAAATATAATTTTTTTGTGTGTAATTAGTGAATGAAAAAGGTTGAAAATCCCTGCTCTAGCACATTATTTTAAATGCTTTTACTCGTATTGAATTAGGAATATCAGAGGTGATGGGGAAATACACATCCCTTACAAGGGCCTGAGAAGTTCATCAGCTTTTCAAATCTAAATCACTGGAGTCTGTTTTTCTTCCCTAAGGCCTGAATGCTACTACAGGGAAGCAGAGTAGCATAGTGAGTGTAACTCTTCAGGTTGTTAGCAAAGGTGGATTCTGGGTTTGCGTTTACCCCCAATTGACTGGACGTTGCCAAGAGTAAAATGAGAAGAATGGAGTGGAGCTCTCCAGAGCCCCTTCCAGCTTTCACTGGCTGAGTCTGGCTGGAATACAGTGGTCTGAAAGGGTTAATACAGCAGATCTCAAAATGCAGTCGGCAGAGCACCAGCATCAGCCCCACCTTGCACTTGGTCAGAAATGCAAACTCCATCCTCCACCTCTAACAATGGAGTAGGGCCTGAGGGTGGGCCCAGCAGCCTGCATTTTAACAAACCTTCCAGGTAATTCTGATGCACACTCAAATATGAGAGGAGCTGGATTAATGTGATTTTCAAAGGGCTGCACAAAATTCTACCTGATTCGCCAGGGGAAATAGCTCTGTATTTAGCTTGAGTAATTTCCTTTTAGTTTCTCGGATGAAATGATTATTATGAAGAAGACGGGACAAGTTGAGCTTTCATCCCCTGACGTACATATATTGTAAATGGCTAGTACCGCTTAACAGGCTCTCCCGTCTCAACAACCACCCAGCTAGCAGAGCCGACCTAGATACTCCCAGAGAAGAGATGTCACTTGCCCTGGTCACACACTTAGATAGCATGGGGCCCAAACTAGAACCCCAGCCCTAGTTCCTCATGCATTCTTTTTTTACTGTTTGTTCTAGATTTGGATCCCATAGTCACGACAACCCTCCCCCAAATACTTGGGACACTCACCACAGGCGAGAGCCAGGAGGTGGGTTTGCCAGGTGAGCGCCATGAACATTCCTCCAATTGCAATGCAGGCCAGAGAGCTGTTGAAACCCCAGAGTCCAAAGTAGATGTCCTTAAATGGAGCCGAAAGACTGAGTGCTGTTAGATAAGACAGGAGGAGTCAGAGTTGCAGACGAAAGGCAAGATAGGATGCTCTGGAAGGAGTCCGGGTGGTGGGAGCAACTGAGAACTCCCTTGGAAGTATTGGTCCCTTGGAAGCAGAGACCTCAAGAAAGGTCTGGAGTATAGAAGATGCCTGACACAACACCTGGGGCAGAGGAGGTGCTCTCAATGCCTGCTTACCTGCTGTTATCCCCACCAACGATCCGATTGTAGCATGCAGGCACATGAGTGGGGAGGAAAGTAGGACGGCACATAGGAAAATGAGCCCTGTCCACAGACTGTCACAACCATATATCTGAGCAACACCCACAGGCAGGGATTTCAGTAACTGCAAAAATAATTTACGAAATAAAGTCATTAAAACAACTGGATAGAAACCAATAGGACACCTACAAGCACATACAAAGTAACTTTAGATTTAGCATATCTAAATCTAAAATTTCATATCTCAAATCTTTTGAAATGAGTGCTATTAATTTTAAAAATTCTCCCTCTTTACAGAAAAATCTGTCATATTTCTGCTTTATTCCCAGAGATAGATCAGCTCTTCTCTGGAGCATGCAAAGCATGCCTTCTCACTCACTGCTCTCCCACTTGTACTGACATTTGGCCTTTGTAACTGCTAAGCTCTGTGTGTTGTCACTGTCCCCACTGTGAGGATCTCCCATGCCTCCCCGTGAGGATGGCAGGGACCTCAGCTTATAATACTTCTACTGCTTTCAACTGTTCATCCATGCTGAGGCCAGCCCATCCACGCATCTCTACAGTCCATAGAAATATTATTATTCGTATGCAATCTAATGGTTAATGCTAAGGCCAGAGACCCAAAGTCAGGTTATCTTATCCACAATTCAAAAGCAATTATCAGCAAGTTTGTGAATCAAGACCATATTTACACTTCTGTTGTTTACTAGAATGTGTTGTTTTAAACTAAGATATCCTTAGCTTATTCTAGTTATCGACACTGTCAATCCTCAAAGCACAAGAAAACATGTAAGTGTCACCATTCCACTTTCTGGCTGAAGCCTGAATTCAGTTAATGTGTTCACAGACTGGCATTTAAGGTACAGGGTCTGATTTGAGCTAACAAATGATGATTCTTTTTAACAGCACTCAGGTAGGGCCAGGATATGCACAATCAGTCATGTCAGCTCCCTCATGATCAAGGCCATTTACTGAAAGATTCCTTCCCCAGGTCATGTGAGCACCTTTTGTCAAGGACCTTCAGGGGGTAGTGACTCTGAAACCGAGAGAGTCCCAGTTTGGGCATGAGGAAGTGTCCTTTACCTTCATGCATTAGGCTGGATGGAACATTGGCTTCCAAATGCTGGCTTGGTCCTTGCTCACTGCACAGGTCCATACTGTGAGCTCGATTCTACCCTAAGAAGGACCCTAAATTCTTCCTGCCCATGCTGGATTCTCATGTCTACACAGGATCATTTCCTGTTTCTTTCAGACCAGGGGACTCGACACAGGCACATGCAGCAGAACTATCCCTGAGGGAACCAGGGAGGTGTGGAGTCGGGTGAGGTGGGAAATAAGTGTGCTGATGCTGAGGTGGTAGTTCAGAGGGAGGGGAAGGACTAGGCCCCCACTTCCCTGGATCAGCACTGCCCAACAGATTTAGCATATCTAAATGATATGCTTTCCATGATCTTGGAACATTCTGGATCTCTGCTGTCCAGTACATGTGGCTATTGAGCACTTCAAATGTGGCTAGTGAGGCTAAGGAACAAAACAGTAATTCTAAATTTTAATTAATTTTGCATTTAAATTAAAATAGCCACATGGAGCTAAAACTACTATATCGGACAGTGCAAATATAGATCAATCAACAAATTCTATTTTATAATATTTTGATATCATTTTCATGGGGAGTTATAATACATTTTTAATTTTCCTTCTGAGTTATTTCCAGATACTGCCATTCATTTTCTGGGCAAGAAACTAAAGAAAAGACTACTTGAGCTTCTCACATGTTTTGATTGCTCAGCACAGACAGCAAAAAGTGTTTTATAACTGGATAGGGGGAAAGCCTGTCTTTTGCACAAAAGAAAAGGTAAAGTTTCTTTGGTTTTCTTCTGATTTCAAGTGCTCTTGTTTTTAATAATCAAGCCAACTTAAAGAGATTTATTAAATGAACACCAATAGAAAGAGCTGGAACTTTATTTGGGTTAGCCAGGTGTTTAAAAATGGTGTTCTCTCTATGCACATCTTTAAAGAGATATACAGTATCCAGCCTTGATAGTGGTTCTCAAACTCTGGCCCACATTACAAGTGTTTGGGGAACTTGTTATACAGGTTCCTAGGCCCCACCCCCAGAGATTATGGTTTACAGAGTCTGAGATGGTCCCTATATAGGTATTTAAAAAACAATGATTCTGATGCCCATTGAAGCTTGAGGGTCTGAATTATTATTGTACTTATTCTGTGAGATCGACCATAAGAAAAAGCAGAACAGAGAGGTTCTGTGGTGGATATAACATAAGCAGCCAGTTCTTTTGACTGGAGGAGGGAGGCCATGGAGGACTCAGCCCCAGGCTGGAGGTCCCTGCATCAATGGCTGGCCCCCACCACACCCTCCCAAACAAGGGCCAAGTTTGCAATACAGTGTCTGATTTCCAATGGAGCTATACTCTGGAATTAGCACTGCAGATCTTAGGAAAAGAGGGGGGAAAGTTAGCTTTGACCAAATAGTCATTTAAAAAAATCCCTTAGAGCCCAAAGCTTTGGAGCAGGACAAATGCTTTAGCTGGCAAAATGAAAATAGGAAGCTCCCCCTTGCCCCCCAAGCTGAGTCTCTATAAGGCTCCGTTGCCCTCGAATGAGTAACCAGGTGGACACTGGCTGTCTTCCAGAGCTGGGGGAACATGAAGAGAGTGTATCTTACCTGCAGGCCACTGAGGTCAGACCAGGTGACATTGGGAACCGAGGTTACAGGTGTGAACAATATGCTTGGGAAGAACGGATTGTAATGTCCCGTGGCCGAAAGGTACATGGACAATGCCATGTTGAAGGGAAGGGTGAAGACAGGGAGGTCCCATTTGCTGAACATGGAGCCCAACGCACTTGATAAAAGTGGACTGAAAACAACAGAACAGAATGGAAGAGTATGTGTGACTGCCATGTGGACAAATTGAATCTCTCTACTATGGAGGGCCTTTGTTTCATCATAAAATATGTCCCTGAAGTGCTGCGTTGGAAAACTTTTCACAGAAAAAATAAACAAACAAAAAAATCCAAACACACTTGGAATAAATTCTGTCATAGAGAATAATTCTTACATCAAGTAAAAAAATCAACTCCGTTTATTTGGCTTCTGAAAAATTACATCTGGGATTGCTCACAGTGAGCTGTAAGTCTCTAGGTTTCATAAATATTTTTCTAGTATTTATTTCATATGTCTTATTAGACACATGAAAGACATATGAAATAAAATATTATCTACACAGTTACAGTCGCCTGTGTAACCTATTTGATCCCATGCCCTTCCCTCCCCACCAGAGGCAACCATGATCTTGAACTTGTCTATAATCTTCACAAGTCCTTAGTGTATGTATTTTTGAAAAAGATAAGCAATTATCCAAGGGAGGATGCAGGTGATGTGGGCTGGATGAAAAAGGCCTTAAACTCAGGGGGGCAGAGTTTTAGGGCCTTGGACAAGGCACTCACTGCTCCTCAGGATCCTTGTCTGTAAACTGGGGGGTTGGATTAGTCGGTCTCTGGGATTCTTTTTCTTTACTCACTTGTTGACTCACTCAAAGGGCCATCACTTAAAGATCAGAACTCTGGATTTCGTGGGTTGTGGGAGGGGTTGTGGTGAGCACCACAGGCAATGACTCCTGCCCTTGAACCTGGTCTGCAGAGCAGGCTCTAAGTTACTCCTGGGCAGGCTGGCTGTGCTTGCAGGTGCTCCCCCACACACCTGCAGGTGCAGTCAGGGTGGGTGGCTGTCCTGCAGGCACTGTCCATAGTGGGCTTTACTTCTTATTTGTGTGGGAATTAGTATTTTATATTCTAAATATGCTCCAGTACGAAGGAAATGTTTGCTTCCAAAAAAGGAAAAAAGATTTAAGACACTGTCAACATAGAAACTAGTTTGAAGAATTCAGGTTTTTAAAAAAATAGGAACTGAATTCAGTAAAGTGTTTTTTCTCACTCTGCCATGATGCTAAAGCCACTCCTCAGTAAAATAATTTTTTGAAGGGGTGGGGCAGGTGGGTAAGGGGAGTTCATAGAGGCACAGTGGTTCTCAAAGCGGGATCTCTGGCTTGGCCATGTCAGCATTTTCTGGGAACTTGTTAGAAATGCAAATTCTCAGGCCCCATCCAAGAGGAACTGAATCAGGAACTCTGGGGAGGGGAGCAGCCACCTGTGTTTCAACAAGCCCTGCAAGTGATTCCGATAGTGTGCAAGTCTGAGGACCACTGAGGCAGTGAGAGGTTTCTAGAACTTTCTGGGGGCCTTTAAAACGCCCAGGCAACACCCCCAACCAAGGCCGATTACATCAGAATCGGGGAAAGGGGAGAGAGAGGTGGTATGAAGGGCCACATGCATCAGTGTGTTTTAATGTTTCCTTTTTCCAATAGACATAACCTGAATCTAAATTTTAAAAAAATATTTCTCTAGGAGTTGTATTATATACACAACATGAAATTTACCATTTAACCATTTTAAAGTGTGCAGTTAAGTAGCAGTAGGTACTTTCACATTGCTATACAACCATCACCACCATCCATTCTCAGAACATTTTTCATCTTGCAAAACTGAAACCCTGGACCTATCGGCAGTAATTCCCCATTCCCAACCCCCACCCCCACCCCCACTATAATTTTTTTTAAAAGCATTTAGAAGACCAGGTACAACTTACCAAGTCATGGACATAGCAGCTATAGGGAGTAACAGCCACCAGAAATAGTCTCCCTTCTCTGAAAAGACAGCCATGAGTATTCCCACGAGGGTGGCATTGTAGCCGTGCAGCCCGGCTGCAATCGCTGACCTGTGAATGAGAGGCACAGCATGGACATTTCCCGTGCGGATGTTGGCTGGACTTGCACGTTAGTGACACTTGTCAATTCCAGATCATATTCACATTAGAAAAGGAGATTATATTTAGAAATCTATTTCAAAGACTATAGAAGCCGAATATGAATAAAAAAAAAAAAATAAAATATATGTAGAAAAAATACAAATGTGCATTTGGAACAACCCCTTACAGAGGCATCATAGCTAAAGATTGAACTTCAGCATCTAGGGGAAAAAGGGAAACCAGCAAGGCAACCGGTTCTGTTTCCTTTTAGCCTTTCCTTTGGGAAGATATTATTTCTTTTAAATCATTAAGGGCCTCTGACTTGAATAAAGCTTTTAGATGAAACTGTTTCCGAAGTCTGATTTTCTTGATGAGAGATGTAAGATTCTTGAAATGTGAATTCACTGTCATAGTGTCTTTGATCTTATAAACATTAATCTTCCAATTTAGCATCTATTTTACCTTCCTGTGCTTCCATTTTGTTGTCTCCAAGTACACATTTTTAAGTTAATGCAAAGAAAGAAAAACAATTACTTTTCTTTTACTTGGCAAAGTGCTCCATTTGGTTTGGTGCATATTTAGCACCTAATCCTTTCTCGGGTCCCTCTTTGCTGCAGGGCACAAACACTGCACCAAAGCAGAGACCACAAACCCCCTCACTGTTATTATTACCATGTTAATTGTTAACTGCTAACTATCCTACACTGGCCAAAGTAAAAGAAGTATGTAACTATTCCTTTTACTTTTTATCCAATCCCAGAGACTTCCCCCTTTGCTTTCTCCCTCCTCCCTAATCTATCATCAATGGGTTTCATGTAACCCCCTTACCTCTTCCCCTTTGATTCTAAGGTATAAAATAAGTGGTAAAACTGCCATTCTCTGGAGCATTTTCTCAGTCCCTTGAGATTTTGCTTCCTGGCACTTGCGGTCAGTTTGGCTCAAATGAAAATTCTTACAGGTTTGGACACTTCTTATGTTGACACTCTGGCCCTGTAGCTGCATGTCATGAGATTTAGGGATTCTAAGGGAATATGCTTTTTAAAAAATTCAATTTATTGGGGTGACATTGGTTAATACAATGATATAGGTTTAAGGTATACAATTTTATAATACGTCATCTGTATATTGTATCGTGTTCACCATCCCAAGTCATGTCTCTTTCCATCACCATTTATCCCCTTTACCCTTCTCTTGCCTTTTCTCGCCCTCATTTCCTCTGGTACTGACCAGACTGTTGTCTGTCTGTGAGGTTTGTTTTTTTTCTTAATCCCTTCACCTTTTTTACTTAGTTCCCCACCCCCCGCCCTCCTCGGATAGCTATGAGTCTGTTTCTATTTAGTTTGTTGGTTTACTCTGTTCATTAGATTCCACATATAAGCAAAATCACACGGCACTTGTCCCCCTCTGACTGACCCACCTCACCCAGCGCAATGCTCTCCAGGCTCATCCACGCCTCTGCAAAAGGCAAGATTTCCTTTCCTGCCGTTGCCGAGCAGCATCCCACTGTGGGAATGCACCACAGCTTTTTTATCCACTCATCTGCCAATGGGCACTTGGTAGCCTCACTTCTAAAAGCTGTCTTATGTGTAAAGTTTCTACTCCTGGTTAAAACGGTTCCCATGTCATAATTGGGAACTAGCCACTGGCAACATCTGTCACCACAAAGGGCCCAGCATTCAAGGTCGAATGAGGCCACAGATGTGAAGATCAAAAAGTGAGCGGGTGAGCTGAAATGCAGGGCCTGGTGCGGAGGTGATGCAGCCAGTGAGCCACACCGCCGGGTGTCAGAGGATGGCCTGAGAGCTCTTTCTTGGCTGTTCTTAACTGGAGCAGGATGCACCCAGTGCATCAGCAAGAGTGAGGACATTAGAGGAAGGACTCCCTGATCAAAGGTCCTTTGTGTACCTTTAATAACCCTCCAGGCTGTGTACGAGGTGATGCAATTTGTATTGATTTAACCCAGGAAGTGACAAGCTGACTCCCTACAGAATTGGGACTAAACATGAGGACAGTGGAAAACTAATGCAAAGACTTATCCTCTCAACAAATGACTTTCAGAATTAATATTTGCGTTTGGTCAACACACTTAACGGCAATGCCTGCAAGTTGTGGAACAGCCTGGTTAAAGCAACAAGATGTGTATTCACTTAAAACAGGATTGCTGTTTTAATGTGACCCTTTTTAAGACTGGGGAAAAGAAAAGAGATTTGTAACCTAGCATTGTGAATGTGGCTGGTCTTCTAAAATATACCTGATAAGGAAAATAGGTCAACTTTCATTGGAGTAAAGCAATGAAGGAATATCTGATACTGCACAGTCCTGGACCACATCTCCAAAGTGAAAAGATAATTTCTTGCCATGCACTGGAATAGGGTTTAATCTAAGATACTAAATCACCCTCGACAGATAACAAATCAGGCTCCTAGGACCTGATGCAAAAGTGGAGCATTTGCTGACTCTCTCACCAAGAATCTCCTAAGGCGATTCACAGGAAGAGTTATAAGAACTTAGTTGTGTCATAACAATCTACTGGGGATTATGCATTGACCTTGAACACCTGGAAGGCTGGCAGCCTCTCTGAAGGAACTGGTTAGTCAGTAGCCTTCTGCACCCCTGGTGGAGTCAGCTCATCCCTCTTCCTCCTTCTTCTCCTCCTCCTCACTTTTTTTTTTTTTTTT